GGTATACGATTATTAGGTACTTGGACCCTTAGGGCAACTAGACCCGGATACTAAAGCAGTAAACCCTAAACCCCAAACCCCAAACCCTAAACCCCAAACCCTAAACCCTAAACCAAAAAACCATAAAACCCTACAACCCTAAACCCTAAACCATAAAACCCTACAGCCCTGAACCCTAAAAATCTCTGGAGATAGACCTTGTAGGAATTCCAAACCCGAGACCCTAAGCCCGTGGTTGCAAGCCGTGGGCCCTTTGGGGTCAAGTTTGATGCGGCGACTCGGGTCTGAAGTGGATTTCTAGAGGGATGAAAGAGGGGCTAGGGTTTAGGGCTTTAGGGTTTTAGGTCTTTAGGGTTGTTAGGGTTTAGGGGTTTAGGGGTTTAGGGTTTAGTGTTTAGCGTTTTAGGGTTTAGGGCTTTAGGTCTTTAGGGTTGTTAGGGTTTAGGGTTTAGGGTTTTAGGCTTTAGGGCCTGCGGGTTTTAGGGTTTAGGGCTTTAGGATTTTAGGGTTTTGGGTTTAGGGCTGAGAAAGTTTAGGGTTCACGATTCTTTTGATGTGGGGTTTACGATTTGGGGCCAAGGAAGTAAAGGGCTGAGGGTTCATGTCTGCCGGGTTTGCCAGCTAGGAAGCCGCCGAGACCGACAGAGAAATCGAGGTGACTCAATAAGCTGGATTTAGGGTTGAGAGTGTAGGCTACATCAGTTTGCTTGAACTGACCGAGATGCTGTCTCTGGGGTTTCGGGTTCAGAATCCCGCCCAATAGATATTGGTACATTGGCAAGCGGAGCATGGAATTCGACTTCACTGTTTGGGGATTTATAGGTGGGTTTGGGCTGTAGGCTTGGGGGATTAGGGCCCAGGGTGTAGGCTCCAGGGTTCAATCTTCCCCGGCCAAAGACGGAACTGAACAATGATGAGACCAAATAGGAGAGCTAGCAACCCTCTTCGACCCAAACAAGGAATCAGTGCACCTCCAAGCCGTACTCTTTCCACGGGGGGGTGGGGGGGTGGAACTCTGAAGATAAGTAGCTTGCTTAGGGGTCCTTGTTATAAGGATCCTCCTTCCAATATGAAAGGCCCCCTGTTTTCCGTAGCCCCCGAACAGGGGGGGTCCAAGTAGCATCCAGCTTGTCAGGCCGAGCTTCTACCGAACTCTGTGGGCTTCGAGTTGAGGATTTAGGACAATTTACGGTTTAGGGCGTTGAGGGTTTAGGAACCCCAGGGTTTGGGGTGTGCGTGAGATTTCAAGAGGGGTACAGATCTTGGCACTCAGGATCCTACTACGTACTTCGAATCCCGTATGCGGCGCACACACACACACACCGGTACAGTGTTTGCTAAAACTCCCATTGATAGTGATGCTGACAATGACAGCAATAACCTCTGCAGTGACGACAGCTTTTTACCACAAGACTCAAAAGTATTATACAATGTCAACTCTCAGTGAATACAACCCCCTTCCTTGAGGGCAAGCATTTTGCGATGCATTTTACAAATAGCGCCTGGAGGCAGGTCTACACGTCTACAGAAGACAAAAGGCCAAAGAGTCCGAGGTACTGCAGTACCAAGCAGGTTTTCTATACTAGGATCTACTCTAAACCCTAAGCCCTATACTATATTAAAGTTACTATTATCGTCGGGATTTCGAAAGAATCTGACGCGGAGTTCCATGCTCCTGTCTCGTCCGCAGCGCGGCGGAACCGTCGGAGAGCAGTGCTGGTCGAAAGTGGGGTTTTGGGTTTGGGGGTAGGGTTTGGAGTTGAACCGCAAACCATACAAACTCAAACCCTAAAGCCTTGCAAACCCTAAGATGAACTTAAACCTTTAACCCCAAGCCATGGTGTCCATGAGCTGGGGTCTTTACTCCCATGTCCTGTCGGAGTCTTAGACCCCGAGTCGCTAAGCGTTTAGAATTGGGGTTGAGGGGTAAGAAGGAAATGGGGCTTAGGATTTGGGTAGACTACATACTGATACTTATCAAGTAAAAATACTAATCATAATACGAATAATGCTACTAACAATAATATCAACAGAGAGGTTTGCTAACCATCTCTTGACCTTCACACTATGAAGGCGTAACCCCAAGGATTGGTCCAACATGTCTCCTAAACCCCAAACTGGATCCTTGCTGCAATGAGGCGCAGGGGCCATTGTTCAGGATTCTACATTACGCTGCTTGTTTCTGTCACAGCTCCTGCCGTTTTCTTCTACATTCTGTCTACAGCCGACACTCTAACTGCTAGTTCGTTGTTTTGTTCAACCCCACGCGTTTGGACCCACCGCTGCCCGTCCAACGGATTCGGCTCCGCTGAGTGTGCGTGGCCACGTGCTAACTCCCACGCCCTGAAGGCATGGATGGAGGCTGCCGGTTTTGGAGTTCACAGGGATTTGCGGCTCAACATTTCGGGCTTAGCCCTAAACCCTTAACTCTTAGGCCCTTAGGGATTTCGAGTGCAAGCATCTAGGGTTGTAGGGTTTAGGGCTTCGTCCGGCTTCGTCCTAAAAGGATCCTTGCTTGATCCGTGTCGGGGTACCCTGGTCTTTCGGGACCCCTGTGAAAGACACGACCTCACTTCAAGAGATGAGAGAAGACTAATGGTGTATATGGTACTCTTTTAGAACGGGGGTTCGTGGTAGTATATTTTAGTATACTTAGCATAGGGAAGCCCAAGGAATCATACTACTATTTATTGAGGCCCCCAATATTACGTATTCAGACTGTTTCAAACTAGTCTGCATCTTTAAACCCTAAGCTTAGGCTTTTAGGGTTTAGTTAGTTTGAGGCTCTGGGGCTTGAGTTGGCGTGCTGTCATTCGAGTAGTGGCTGTCTGCTTTTGTTGGCGATGTGGTTTTAAATTGCTACCGTTCAGCAGCTGCACGCTAGTGCCCCGACTATTACGTTTGCCACAATACATACATACATACATACATACATATATATATATATATATTTATTTATTTATCTATTTATTTATTTATTTATTTACTTATTTGTTGTTGTTGTTGTCAAAATATATGTTGTCATCAATGTGCATGGACGCCAGAGATGTGGAGGTGGCAATGGCTTTCTCAAGGAGCAGGTCGGATCTAAGCATGAGACATACATACGAGTTCTCCCAAATCTAGCTTGTGGTTCGGGGCTTGCGGTTGAGACAATAAGACCATGTTTGCCATTCGTGATCTACCAAAATTGGGGGGCTTGCAGGATTTACCATTCAGGGCTGATCGTTTCCAACTTTGGAGTCTGTAGGTGTCTTTGGGCTTTAACAGAGTAATATAGACGTCTCGATAATTAGACTAGGGTTTTGGGGTATACTATACTATACTATAAGTAGGAACCAAAGAATATAGGTAATTATTCAGGCCCCTAGTTTACTCCTCCACAGCTTCAGGGCGTCTTCTCAGCAGACGTCGCTATGTACAGCGCCAGTGCACCTTTCCCCGGCCGGGGCGACCGCCTGCGACGCGGCAACTTGGCCGAGCTCTGAGCTGCAACAGACAACAGACATCAGGCTTCATGCTGGCGCGCGTGGAAAGGGCAAGAAGCAATACACGATTCTAACCAGGCAACAGTACCACGAAATAAGCACAGACAACGGGCGAGTGAACCAGAACACGTAAGCGACCTGGATACAGCAACCAAAAAACGACTCGCACAGTAAAGTTGCACAAAGCACAAAAATAATGCAGGTTCACAAACGCGACCACGCTCTGGCTGAGCAATGGACAGGAGAAACACGGAGACAAGTACCAGTTTAAAGACCTAAATCTATCGTTAAGCCGTGCCACCTTAAGACCCCGACGCCTAAACCCAACAACGCTAGCAACCAGAGACTGAAAGGAGTCTGTGTTTAAGCGGGACCTGAGATGAGAGCATAATACCCAGAGTCTCACACTCGCAAGTTCGATGGAAGGGGTTTGCAAGTCAATGCTCGGGGGGCCTTCGGGACCGTGGAAGAGTCGGGTTGAGTATCTGGCTTTGGCCGTTGGGCTTCGGTATTTGGGGTTGGAGTTGGGGAGTTTAGGGTTTAGGGTTTAGGGTCTATAGGGGTGTGGGGGTTAGGGGTTTTCGGGTATGGCAGGGTGTAGGGTTGAAGGGTCATGGCTTGAGGCTTATGAGGTTTCATGGGGTTTGAAGGTCTATTTGGGGTTTCGGCTTTTGGGGTTTAGGGTTTGGGGTATTTAGTATTTCGGGTTTTATTGTATTCTGGATGTAAGGTTTAGGGTTTTTTGGGGTTTAGGGCTCGGGGCTTTCGGGGTTTAGGGTTTGGGGTATTTGGAGGGGGCGGGGGGTTCAAGCGGTTGACTGCACAGCATTTGGCATCTCGTGAGACGCTCAAAAAATCAACAAGCAAGAAACAGGGGAAGTCACAAATTCCGAACGACTAGAACAAACCCTAAACCCTAAAACCCTAAACCCTAGCTACTTAAGCCTCATCCCCACTCAAACCCCGAAGCCTAAGAACGCCAACCCAAAAGCACTGAGCCGGCCACTCTGATGTCTAATTAACTCCGTGGCAATTTGGGAAACCGTAAAATTCCCCTTATGGTTCCTATCGAGGTACCTATTGATAAATACTTTCCAGGGCCCCAAAACTACAACCCAGAAAAACACAGGAGCAATAACTACCTAATATAGGGGGCCTTTATACGTAGAGCAGGGTTCCTTTCAGGGTTCTATTCTCTGACATAGGGGTTCAGGAGGGTTTTCGCTGTCTAGCAGTCGAAGAGGACTCGCGGTGTGGTACCCAGACTCAAGACAGTAGAATCAAGAGCAAGCCCTCTCCACCTTCATGTGTTCTAGACGGCCTCTTATGGTAGCCCTTGCGGTAACCCTTATAGTGCTGGGTTGTAGTTTTGGGGCCCTGCAATTGCCCCTCAACCCTAAACCCTAAACCCCTAAAAACCCTAAAACCCTAAAACCCTAAACCCTAAAAACCCTAAAACCCTAAACCCCTAAACCCCTAAAAGAGACCCTTTAAAGGGCCTCCTCCTCGGCTCTAGATGGCTGTAGGCATCCTCCTCGGCGTATGGTGTGGCCATGTCGTGGTGCCATTAGGCAGCTGCCTCGGTGATTTCAGGGCCCAGACGGGCCCTTAGAGCGTTAATTTTGTAACTAGTACGCAGTTCTTTGGAGGTTGGGGTTTAGGGTCTAGGGAGTTCTTTGGAGTGTAGGTCTCCCTCTTCTTCGGGGGGATGTAGCTCCAGTGTTGGTCTAGGGTCGGTCGGAGCTTCTGGATTGAAGGTTTAGGAGTTCTTAGTACGAAGGTTGATGACGCTTCGGGTTTCGGGGCTTGGGTTTAGGGTTTAGGGGTTTAGGGTTTTAGGGTTTAGGGCTTTAGGGTTTTAGGGTTTAGGGTTTTTAGGGTTTTTAGGGTTTAGCGTGTCGGGCGTGGGATCACCGGACACCGGGAGTCTCTGCTGAGCAGCCCTGCGCAGCACCAAGGATGAACTAAAGGTTCACCTTTGGGATTAGAAAAGGCCTTCTAGTGCCCCCAAAACAGGTTAAAGGTTGCCTATGCTACTACTTAGGACTCCTTCTCTCCAGCATCTTGGTGTTAAAAGGTCCAACTTAGGGTCACTTCTTTCCTGAAAGTTCTAGTCGGTAGACCTATCAAGGATGCTGATATGCAAGATTCGGTTTTAGGGTTTAGGGCTTACAGTAGGTTCTCCAACTTAGGCCTCAACTCCTCAACCCTCTGGCTAGCAAAAGAGCCACAACAACTAGAAGAGGATTCTGGTGATACATCATAACATACATATAATTCGGTGTAGGGTTTAGGATTTAGGGTTTAATCAGTCTTCTCTATGCTCCCGTACAAAGCCCTACCTACCTCTACTCTCCAATGCAGTCGGCTTCGGCTTGGAGTTTGATCATAAAGCCAGCAGCGTCAAGAAAAGGAGCTACGTGCCAAGAGCACTAGTTATACCCTAGTGCGACAATTATCATGAGCAGAAGCCCCTTCAGGAAGCTATCTTCACCGACCTGCGCATGATGTATGTATTCGATTTTATTCGATGACCTCTAAAATTTCCCGTCTCTAAATAAGCCGACCCCGTGGTCAAGCAATCAAAGTAGTAGTCGTTGAACCTGCAGTAGCCAGACACGGACTTGCTGCAGTGGTTGCCACATACACTAAATCATGTCTGCTCGGGCTCGCCATAGCGGCGATTTAAGACTTGCTGACGCACATGCGCGATTTCGCACATGAGATCCAC